TGGTATGGTATGGAAGAAAATGTTATATATAGCCTGATAAGGATAGACAGTATCTGCTCCTCATTATTCGGAAACACTGAAAAGTAACCTACACTCTCTATTCACACAGTTATACGCGTCAGTCAAGCAGCAATATCCGCACGTTTTCGGACACATCTTGATCATTGCTTGCTTCATTTCTTCAGAATCAGCTTTGTTCATCTGGAAACTGTGATCAATGTTAAACCGCAATGGTTACGGTAAGTTTATGAATGACTTTTTGGCACCTGGTAGCAATTCGCCGCACGATCGGTGTCAGTTCCAACGGCAAGGGCTGTTTGGGCAACAACGATCGTATCGCAGATCGCATCCGACACGGCGTTGTCGCATCCTAGTGCTCTTTCAGTCCACTGAATGATATATTAAAAAGGAAGTATTTTAAAAACACGAACGAGAATGCGAACAAGTCTAGTTGTCCTCAATTACCGAAATTGTACGCACTCATCGTATGGGCGGACACAGAAACCATTGTGTCTTTCTAACTGGTGTACCTTTGCTAAGGCGATGCAGAGAAACGGGGAGGCTCCAGTGAATCCGATGAGGAAAGCAGGATGGCTCTATGACTCCGTGCATAGGGGCTCATCCTTTGAAGTCTGTCTTGAAGGCGATTGGCACAATAATTCTCCTAGACGTGTGGTATTGATACGCCTTGCAGGACAGAATTCGGCGCTTCTGAGCAGGCGCTGCGTGGGTCCTTCCCAGATAGAGGTACGCTTATAGCGCCCCATCAGGCTCAACATACCGACCCGGACGCCCACCGCGCCAGCCCGCCCACAAATGTCCGATCGAGGCTGTTGCTCGTATCGCTTCACTTGCAAAGCACAATATTCCAGGTTTTTGACCGTTTCACTCTGCTTTTTCGCCATTTCCCCCACTATATATCAGCCCTACTACCAATTTAGACCAAGTTCTAAATCATCTTGCCTTATGCCTTCGAACCAATGCATTCAGAAAATCAGCATCTATTACAACGAAACCTATCATCTGACTTACAATTGGACCGAAACAAGAGCTCTAAAATTGCTGACCCCAGATCGTCCATTGCTTAACGTAGACCCAATCTAAAGCAGAGTAAACCATGGCACTGAGGGGAATTTTCCCTATATACGACTCGCACCTATTTTCCTCCACCACCCTCAGCACACTTGCACGGTGATGTCTAGTTGGGTTGCTAGTTGTCTAGTTGGAGGTCTGAAAATATACCTAGCGAAAACATTAGACAGCGCCTCGGTCGTTACAAACACCTAGGACAAGTTTTATGATCTAATGGCGAGTTCATGTGAAGGCCTTTCTGTGAACTGATGAAAGGCCTGCCATGGAGTCGAGTTTACAAGCAGTTCATATAAGAACACTGGGCTGCATGCCCACACGAGGGAATCAGCGACTCGCATGCCCACACGAGGGAATCAGCGTGCTCGCAAGTAGGAGTGGTATAGGAGTAGTCCGAAAAATGCAATGCCAGTGATGTAGGTTTACGCCTTGGGAAGCAATAAGAAAAATGACAGGAAATGGCTGAAAATACTCATCAAGGAACACCTTCCTAGTATGAGTCGCGGTACTCCCACAATGGGGAGGCATAAGGTGGAGCGGCACAGTTATAAGGCATTTAAAATAAAGAACACTTTGTTAACCTGTATGGGACGGGACTTTCTGCGAGCAAGGCTACTAGAAAGCGCCGAATGAATAGCCAAAATGAGTACCCCGGTACCAATTGACCTACTGCTATTTATATCACACCGCGAGCTGTAAAACGACTGTGGGTGAAGTCTTCGCCTTTGACCACTCTTGGTATGCGGCACGCATTGTACTTCTATTCGGAACCATAGTCGCTCCTTGAATGAAACAAGATCTATTCAATGAGTTGGGCAGGCCAGCCAGTGTTGAAATCGGTGTTCTTATCCTCCTAGAGGAACCTGATACCAACCTACTAACAACCTGGAGCGTCCGCCCGGAAGAGCTTGATTGGCCTGGGCGGGAGCCGATCCAGGATTTGACCTCCGGACTGCGCGCGTGGTAAGCGTGCTACTTGTCACCACACCGCCTTATAAACTTTTGATACGGAGATAACATCCCTTATCTACAACTAACACTTTCGTGTGGCAGCGAACCTTCACCGCTTGAGCGGCGGAGCTTTCAGTGCTTCTATTTCTCATCACTGAAGTCTTCTCGAGGGATTCCTGACACTATCGGAAGCGCTGAAGCTGGTGTGACGCCTGGTGAGACAGGCTGTAGACCAGAAATCTAAAACACTCTCAGTCCCCCGAAAGCGGCAATTCAGACGAAACCTTGGGGCAATTAAATGTTCCACTGTAAAGCACAGAACAAGTGAAACACTCCTTCTTGTGATGGACCCTCAAACAAGCTGTTCTTGAGCCGTGGGAATAACGTGAGCCTCCCTATCCTTCGTGATAATTATTGCAAAAAGTGACCAGGACTCTCTAGGGAGGGGCCCAGAATTTCTTTTGCAGAAGAAAACTACTTCTCGTGTGCTCACCTTTCCATCGGCACTGGTGCAATTCTTGTCAGTGATGGCTGCCTGACTACCGATAACTAAGAACGCCACAGCAATGATAGAGCCGAGCATTGTTCGAGATTCCTTAAAGGAATCGTATTAGCTAGATAACTTGATATCACATCAAAGGGCATGAGCAAGATTTGAGGTTGTCACGGTAGTAACTTGTTAATAATGGCAAATCAGCGTATCTGAGCGACAATGATGACTTTCTACTATAGAAGCTGCTGGCAGCTCGTAGAACAGTTCTGTTGGACGCTCGGATCGAGTTTTATACCAGCATCATTATTGTGATAGGTTTATGGATCCAGCTGTTCACAGTGTTGCAATATTTTCTTTGATTTTCACCGTAGTCGTCAAATAATTGAATGGTGTGATGTTTGCCCACCGATTATAGCACAATAGCACGATGGTGTTGCAATATGGGTGGTCCATAGCAGCTCAGCTGTTTGCACTAATCGCCACTAGCAAGCTTCAGAGCATCTGCATCTTCTTCCGTCTGTATTTTATGAATTTCTGGGGAATATAGCACACTTTGGGGCGGCGTATTCGCCTAGGAGGAAAGCAAAATGAGAGGCTATGGTGTCAGCACAGAAGCCTTAAGTCAGTACCTCGGCGTAAAGAGAAGCCCCTATGAAAGCACTAAGATTGCTTTAGGCTCTCAAGCAGATTTCTTTATTTGTCTTCATTTGCGATCGGAGTTCTTCCGCCGGTTGTACACTTCCACTTACCATTCTCAGAGTGCGTGGCAACTCTCCCGGCCATCCAGGTGTGCCCTCTCCTCCTCACCCCCCCCTCCCCCCTCGGATCTCAATGTGTTTTCCACTAATAATGAGCTCTTCCACTTACTCGCAATAAGCTCTGTTTGGAGGCCAAGCGTGAGTACTAGTCTTACAACTTCAACTGTAGATTCAGTTTTCAATAGTTGTAAAGTTAGTCAGTATTAGCTGATTTGATTGCAAAGCCATTATACCAGCCCCATAAAATTACCACTATACCAGCCCCACCAAATTCAAGTTGTAGTCGCAACAACGATGATTCGTCTGAGGAAGGGGCGAAAGGGACCATCTATGTTTCCGAGTGTTTTCTTTTTCCAATCATTTGTTTCACTTTTTTCTAACAGATCCTGAATCAAATCCCTTCCCTTCATTGTCCGTTAATTAGTACCAGACATGTCTGATCTAAAAAAAGAGGCAGATCAAGCAGAATCTTTTATGATTACGTTTTGTGCCAACAATGTCTTTTCTAATGCACATCGGAGCTTTGCTTCAGCATTTATTCAACATTGATGCAGCAATAAAAGTAGTAGTGATACAACAAAAAAAAGTACCAATCTAACAACGTACAAGTAATGCAGTCACCAATCAAAATGCTAACGAAATTCCAGTGTTATGTAAAATTGGTGATTCTGACAGCTTCTGAATATTGTGTTAAAGCTTTTCATGTTCGCCATCAGTAGTCAGCTCCCAACCGTTTTTCTCAGTTAGGTGAAGCTCCCATTCATGGTGCTCCTTCAGTGATTTTCGATGCCCCGTAGAAATGTAGATAATTCCTTGCTGAAAAAATGCCTTCAACTACATTTATTTTTATTTGTGTAAATGTGTTTGTGGAAAAAATTCCAACTTCTCATTGCGATTCGGTAATGCCGGGCATTCCACTACAACTGAATATTTAGGGTGCGTTGGATTTGGTATGGAGTACTTACAGCGACTGCCACTACTCTCATTCTCACAGAAGTACTGACAGATAGATAACATGTGGGGGCATAGAGCATTTGGGAAAATCCGCACAAACCAACCAATAGACCGCGCACAGTTTTCCTAGCCGCTACATAATATCAGGTCGTGAGGAAAGTCCCTACGGATTTTGGTGTCCTAGTTTGATACACTGTGTAATGAACACGGCACAGCATTCGATGGGGATTTTGGTCGAGCTTTTACGACCCCCCCCCTTTTTTTTCAGGGGCTGGTACGACCCCCCCCCTTTTTTTTCAGGGCTGGTACGACCCCCCCACCCCCCCCCCCCCCCCCGCTCGACGACTTTTTCATGAATGACACTGGATTGGCTGACTGTGGTTGTGGTTTATACTCGGCGAAAAAGTTGTCGAGCTGGGTATGTAGTAAGCATGCGACGTACATCGTACGGGCGTACATAGTACCTATAACACAGAAAATTCATAAAACTCATGAAGTGAACACGTACTCCTAGTCAGAATCGACGCCCCCCCCCTTGTGGCCGGCCTCCACTACGACCCGCCCCCCAGTAGGGAATGCCCATCGTAACGCACGTCCCCCATAGGAAATCCCCGTCGAACGCTGTGCCCTGGTAATGAATGACTTTTTCTGAGAATGCTGCCACACCCTATCATGAAGTCGGGAAAACGGTGGGAACAGCTCGGCATATCAGCAAAACGTTCGGCTTCTTCCGTTCTGGAATGAAGTACCAGCGTACTGCACACTGGTTGTTAAGGGAATTTCTATCGGCGATGATGATGAGGAGCGTGGTGGGCGGCTATCGTTGACAAAGACATGTGCCAGGACCAGAGAATTCATTGTGGCAAGACCTCCCAAGCCCTGCTCTCATGCAAGAGACACGGCCGCTTCGTCGATCTGAGATTGACGAGTGATGAGAATCGGAATATGTACGAGAACTGGCAGCGACCTGGTCAGTAGCTGGACGATACTCAAGCTCCTCAACGCTCCTCCTAGCTGAAGCAGCACTGGGCGAACATTGTAGCGGTGGTTCTGTGGTCTATAGCTGGCTTAATCCTCGTCAGCTCCATAAAGTCGGGCGAGACCAGTGCAGATGAAAGGTAATGCCAGGAAGTTGACCAAACGCAGCTCAACCACAGCTTCTGAGTCCAGCACAGGTCAGCAGGAACGGGTCGGTTCTTCTCTACGACAACACTGGCCTGAACGTCTTGAAGAAAATGAATTAGCTGGGCTACGAAACGCTCCCACACCGACCAGAGTCAGCCCCCAACGTTTACTATTACTTCAAAGATCTCGACGACTTCCTCGGAGAAAATATTTTAGAAATTAACAT